ACCCCAAACCCAAAACCTACAACAAATGCCCCCTTAGTATGATCATAGTGATATACCCCAAAACTCTATTCTCATTATGAAGGCGCCTCTATTGGTAGATCCTGAACCCCAGACCGTGAACCCACAAGGCTCTTCTCGGCCCTCCATGTGTTGCAGACCAGCGAATCGCGGCTTCCTCCACAGGCTTTGGCGGAGCTGAAAAGCTGGTTCGGGTTACATGAGTGTACTAGTAGGGTTTATAGGGCTTAGGGTTTAGGCATTGTGTAATGTAGGGGCCTTAATAATTACCAATACTATTTTGGGGTTCCTTCTTATAAGTATAGTATAGTGGGCGCCAAACCCCGATTGTAATTATTGAGGCGCCGCCTATATCACTATAATAAGGGATCTTGATGGGCTTGGGACTCGGTGTTCCGGCTTTGCAAAATTTGGGTTTTGGGCTCCCTCAGGGTTCGATAGAGGTTTCGGCTTTTTTTGTGTATTTTGGGCTGTGGGTTCCCCCCAATACCCTATTTTCCAGGGGCTTGGATCCTCAAAACTTCCTTAAGCTCATGGGCCTATGTACATCCCGAAATACCCACAGGTACCAGATGTGATTGGGTTTAGTCTTTACGTGAGGTTGCGTGAAACCCATATTCGACTCCTGAAGCCCATTCAGACCCTCAACATCTCGAAAACGCAAACCCAGTTCACAACTCCAACCAAATTGCAACCTTTTGGAACGGCAGCAACCCTTAGCGGAGGAGCCTGTGTAGGAACCCTTCAAGCTTCAAAGAACATGTATAGAAAGGAGCGTTTACACAAAGCCTGGTCGGGACCTATTGAAAAAGCCTGAGCCCTAACTCTTGTAGGAACCGTCAGGAACCCCTGTAGGGGCCGTTCAGTTATTCTGCATAGGAGCCCTTAGCCAGGAGGTAGCCACGCTTCTTTGGTCTTCGGCCATGCTCAGTGCAAGCAGCTCGAAGTGAGAGTTGATGCTTGGTGGTTTAGGGTTTCGGGTCAATCTCGGACCAGGCTTACGGATTAGGGTCTAGAACTCAGCACCTCCGGGCTCCTTACCCGGTATCGAAGGTGTATCATCCATCCTTTGGATCCCGTTACGAAACAACAATGCTTTAATTTCCCACAGTGCGCCCGAAACATTACAGCCCAACCCAAAGTGGGCCTTAATCCGAAAAGGCTCGCCCAGAGTAGGCCCTAAATCCTAAAGAGCTCCGACAAGCTTTGCCTTTGTCCATGAATCGTGTTGGCAAGCGGGAACCAGATTTTAATTTTCGTGGGCTAAGTGTGACTCTTCACGAATCGTTGGGACTACGGTGCGCCAGTTCCTGGCTAGATTCGGGGATTCGAGCAAAATGTCCACGAATCGTGTGGGCACGCGAGGTACCAGTTCCTGGCGAGATTCGTAGACTCAGGCAGCGTCAGGCAGATGTGCCTTCGTCCACGATTCGTGCGGGAATAGAGGGGACCAGTTCCCGGCTAGATTCGAGGACAACGGCAAAAGCGTGAGAACATTTGCGGACAAGATGAGTCGACGGCTAGCATCTCCAGCATGCCAGGGGGCCTGGGGTTGGGGTTGCAGTCTTGGTGTCGAGGTGCGGAAGGGTCAAAAGTTCAGCCGACCCTCCAACATCTTTCCCCGACCGGGCCGGACATGATTCCGGGCTCCCAGGCCTTGGTTCAGGTTCCATCCAGATTAGATACGCTGGGTCTGTTGGATTTCAATCGACCCCGCATGGCATTCTGCACATTCCCGAGGTAACCCTTTGTTCTCCAAGCTGCTGTGCGAGCAAGCTCTGGATCAGATGCTTCTTGGAGTTGGCATGGCTGAGTGGGTGGCGTAGGATCTGAACGAATGTGAGCCGAGACTTCGCACATTTTAAACGTGGCCTTAAAGTCACTGCTAAAGGTTTCAGAACTGGTCGACCAACACCACATCCTTTCAGTGATCTAGCTGGCATGTACGAAGGTGTATTCAAATTATTCTTGGCGTTCTTCTGGTTGGCTCTTAGGACTTTAACTTTTTGGCTTCCTATATGAACTATAATAAGGAGGCTAAAAGTTTAACTTTTAGCAGGGGTTCAGAAGTCAGCCAAGTATTTTGGGTTTGGTCTTCACAGCCAGGGGCTCCTTGGCTACACTTGCCACTCGCCTCTGAAACGGGGGTTGAGGGGTGCCGGCTCGATGTCTTCGCCTGCTGTTTATTGCCTGGAGAGCTGCAGGGGCTTGCGACTAAGACTGCGTTTCCAATTTAGGGGTCTTAATAATTGGAACAGGGTTTGGGGATATAATATTCTACTGTAGTGGTGACAAGGAGCCCCCAAAACCCTATTCAAATTGTTAAGGCCCCTACATTACGCATCGCATGCAAGATCCGATATCCCGAAGACGCTACTCCCCAACCGAGATCCCAACGCCCAGGCTTGGATTCTCGTGTGAGGACCTGCTGCTTCTGGCCTGGGGCGCGGCAGCTAGCACCATGTCTCTCAATGGTTGCCAGTTCCGGGCAATGATCGGTTGGGCCGTTTTGTTTGAGAGGGCGGAGGGGAGGGGGGCGTCACCGTTAGAGCTCCGTGTGCAAGGTACCTTCTACGCGCTTAGGTTTCAGAGATGAAGCGGTTGAAGTTTCTGGTCGCACGAAACATTTCCGCCTCTACTGCATGAAGCTGATGCGGGGTGACAAACCCCGAACTGGACGGACCCTCCCCTTGAAGAGCACGAGCAACTTGATTGGGGGTTGAAGGGTTTTCAACAGCAGCTTGCAGTCCCTGGGACCTGAGCATCTTGAGTTTGTCTTTTGCCTAGGGTGTGGGGGGCATCATGTTCGTGCGATTGTCGGCATGATTCGACGTTAAGCTGAAATTTCGGATTTCAGACTTGGGGTACTATGAGGTGAGTAGCGCTCAGAGCCTCGTTGCAAACTTCAATCTCGGAGAAACGCCTGGCCCACAAGCACTAAACAACCAGCGGAATTCCCAACACTCTGCCCCCACATGAGCAGAGGTGCTCTCAACTTTCGGCTGTCGCTGCAGATCGTGGATGACGCTCTTCTGCAGCTCAACGTCAGGCTGCCGTCGCGGATGAGGCGACTTTCAAAGCCGAGCCGCAGATGTTGAGCGAAGCTTAGGCTTAGGCTTGCCAATCCAGCCAGGACGAAGAACCGCAATATGGGGTTTCCGACTATCGTATCCCAAATAGTATCATAAGGACCTCAAAACAAGGAACTTTCGGAAATTCCCACATCAATGAGCCTCGTTTGGAGAGCTTCTCCGACAGCCCAAGCTTTGAACTCAGCAAGCAGAAACCGTCGAGACAAGGAGACTATGCGGCGTCTCGCCTATGATGCCACCTTCGGGGGGGATGCCCAGGCGTCTCTCTTGCCACCGTTGAGAGCAAGGGTTTGAAGTTACCTAAACCTTAGTTTCAACCGCCAAGGCGTGGCTATGTCTTTCTGCAGCGTGAGTTAGGGGCACTTGGGAAGAAAAGACCAGTCAGTTGATCCTGCGGGTTTGCAGAACTGACGATTTCCACAGTCAGAATTTGAGTGCCCGACTGTAGGGCTAAAGGCGTTCGACATGGTCTGGAGTGCATCTTTTTTCGCCGGACGACGGGACCGATAGCTTGTGATTGTTATTCTGAGACCCGCACGTCGCTGTGTGTGGAATTCGAGTACCAAAAGCCCCCTGAAGCATGCAAAGTTCGAATTCCCCAAACTCCCGACTCTCCGCTGCAAGGCCCCCTTCGTTGCTTAGGGGCTGAGGTGTAATGTTGAAGCTTGAAATGGCCTGAATAATTACCAACAGTATTCCGTAGTATACGGATACTACCATAATCCCCAAACTCCTCTTCCTTTGATCAAGGCCATTGTCTTAGGGGGTAGCATCTTGAATTGTCCCCAGCCAAGGCCTCCTCCTCGACCTTCAGCTTCCAGGGTTTGGGGCCTGAAACATCAGCCGTCGTGAAAGCAAACTGTCTTTTAACAGGGTTTAGGATTTAGGGTTTCGGGTTTGTCTTCACAAGTTGGTGTGTGTGTTTGACGATACCAGGTGCGAAGGACTTGTTTGGGGACTGTAGTTCCGCACATCAACTATTAGGCGGGGTTATAAACCAGTAGAGTGAGCTTTCGGCGAGAATCAGGCGAACCAGGACGAGCGGTCTCCAGAATGCTTCGCGATTAGGACTTGGAAACTCTTTAGATGCCCCAGCAGGTAGCAAAGCCCTCACCTTTGTTCGAGGTGTTGCTTGGAGTGGTCCCGCAGATGCAGTTCTTCTCGTGCGTGGTTTAGGGCTTGGGGAATCGGTGTCTCGCATATGAAAGCTGCATGCCCTGACAATCATCTACTTGTAGCGAGACCGAACAATCGGTCCGGTCCGTCCTTCCAGGTAGGAGGGCTCGCTAGAAGGGGTCCATGGTTCAGGGTTTAGATCTGTGCGCGTATGATGACGGTGCACGCTTTTGTTGTCAATAGTTTCTCCTCGAGGGCGGAATGATGTGTGTAATGCACGGTTGCATCCTCGATGTTGTTGAACTGATGTGTGTCTGTTCGAGTATTGACAGCTTCTTGTTCATGCTCGATTGCGTATATGTTTGTATATGTACGCAATGCACGTATGTATGTATGTATGTATGTATGTATGTATGTATGTAGATGTACATGCACATGTACATGTATATGTATGTGTATATGTATGTGTGGGTGTGGGAAGATACATATACATATTATCACATGTGTATATGTGTATTCCACACAGACATTCACGCACCTGCGCCGACATGTGTGTGCCTGCATGCTTGCATCTTTTTTGGTACACGTACATGTGTAATGTGCCAGGAGGTCCGTGCAGGAACACTTGTATGTCTCTCTATCGACCTGGCACCTCTGTCTATCTACGATCTGTACTGTACTGTTTGCTGCATTTCGAGCTCAGGTTTGGGCCTCCCATTTCGCAGGGGTCGCTGGGCCTGGCCTTCAAGCGGCGGTCGCAGCACAGCTCCAGAGGCTTTTTGCACAAGTGTGTGTGTGTGTGTGCGCGTGTTTGTGTCCTCTGATACGACTTCTGGTTGCAGGCTAGTAGTTGCGACTGCTCACTACTTTCGCCTGCCCCTGGCTACAGCTTGCTGGAGAGGGTCAAGTTGCTGCACATGAGCACGCATGTCCGGGATGCACGCATGTAGTACCGGGCCAGTTTAGTAGTTGGATTGGAGCTAGTAAGTAGTGGCCGAGCAATGTTTCGGAGACACCACAGTCTTGGTTCCATACATGCCCAACCCAAAGCCGATGAGAATCATTGCAGACATCGAGTGAGCAGGAAGCATGTCGGTTTCTTTCGTGGCGACAACTTTTCAGAACCCATGGCCACTGCCAAACTTCAGCCTTGCTCCTGACCCTAAGCCCCACGCCTGCCCCAAGCCCCTACAGGGTAACTCACGTTGTACATAGCACCATGCCGACCCACGCGCACAACGACACTTCGGTGCTGAGCGATGTGCGGTGAAGCTTGGCTGAATCGGCTAGCTCTGTAGTACCAGTACTAGTCGTAGTCGTAGTCGTAGTAGTAGTAGTAGTAGTAGTAGTAGTAGTAGTAGTAGTAGTAGTAGTAGTAGTAGTAGTAGTAGTAGTAGTAGCAGGAATAGTAGTAGTAGCAGGAATAGTAGTAGCAGTAGTAGTAGTAGTAGTAGTAGTAGCAAAAGAAGGAGGGGTAGTGGTAGTAGTAGTAGTAGTAGTAGTAGTAGTAGTAGTAGTAGTAGTAGTAGTAGTAGTAGTAGGAGGTAGCAGCTTTCGTAGTATTAGTCGTAGTAGAAGCAGTAGTGGTAGACTACTTCTGCTGCTGCTGCTACTACTACTACTACTACCACCACTACTACTACTGCTACTACTACTGCCGTTACTGCTGCTGTTACCACTACGTCTTCTACTACTACTACTACTACTACTACTACTACTACTACTACTACTACTACTACCACTGCTACTACCACTGCTACGACCACTGCTGTTGCAAGTACTGTTACCATTGAAAATTGGACCATTGTATGCAATGACTAGTGCTTGTACCTGCTCCTCTACACACTCCTTAGGATGAAAAGTGGATGAACTATGTCTTTGGTTCATATCGTTGATCCAGTGTACTTCACAGTCTCCAGACACTGTCGTTGCCGCCACCCGGTGCCAGTTCTTCAGCATCTCCTGCCCCTATTCCTGGCATGCCCTCATCACCTCCAGAACCCAGGCAGCGGTCTGAATGCCGTGGTTGCCACGCGAGCGTCTCCTGTACATAGCTTCCTGGATAGTGAGGTCGAAGCACAGGAGGTGCCAGAAGACTTCAATTGCTGGCTGTGCGTAGTGCGTGCACTATGTTTGTTAGGGTGTTGTTGTGAGCCTCGGGTAAGGCTTGCGTTGGCTTGAGTCCAGAGTGCTTTTACATGGCTTCGGAGTTCAGCGTTCTTGGCTTGTTGAGCAAAAGTTGTCTAGTTAATGTTTCGGTCCGGAAATCCGGTACGGTGCGAGGGTGTTGAGACCGTGGTCGAAGGGTGTCAGGCTTGGGCGTTGGCTAGGTGCAGACCGGTCCGAGTTGCTTTGTCTTGACCGCTTTGGGGGTCTGTTGATGGGGTTACCCGTGCATCATGTCTGCAGGAGCCACTACAGCCGGCGTTTTCTGCGCGGATTTGGTTCTTCGGCCTGGGCGTCCTCCTGAATGTTCTGTTAAGCGGCGCATTGATCCTGGGATGCACACCTTTCCAGGACGCCTTAGTGCGGCGGTACGGCTACTCCACCGCCGATGCTGGGTGCTGAAGTCTCACTGGCGTTCTTCTCTTTGTATATAATATGTATACGTATATATATATATATATACATACATACATACATACATACATATATATATATATATATGTATATAGGAAACCCAGAACGGTAGAACGGTTCACAGGGGCTGTTAGAGGGACCTGGCCGCGCTTCTCGACTCCCAGGATGCGACCACCATTTGGGGCAACGGCTTTCAGAGTCCGGGCCGCAAATTTTTGGCTGGCAGAAGCACGGGTTGAGGGTTTAGGGTTTAGGGTTTTTTGGGTTTTGGGTTTAGGGTTTTGGGTTTAGGGTGAAGCCCCCATCATGAACTGTATGGAGTCTTACATTTAAAAGTCTCCATTCGTGTTATACTTTTTGTCAAGAAGCCCAAAGCCCGAAGCACCTTAGATGTCTCAGAGCCAAGGATCCTGGTCATGGGCACCGCGCTGACGTCTCCCATTTTGGACGTTATCGGGCCCAGGTGGTTCGCAGCAATCGGCTTAAGCTCTGAGTGTGTGGGCCTGGGAGTCCTGGCGCATACGGCCTCCTACGACCATGCGGTCCTTATCCTCTCTTTCGCCTACGGCCTCGTCGGCTTAGGGGGAAACATGCTGATGCTGTCCAGTATGCCCTTCTGCCAGCTTTTTCGGCGCAGTAGCACTGCAGCCTCCATTATGATGGGCGCCTACCAGGCCAGTTCATCACGGGGGTCTTGTGGATGGTGCCGCAAATCTCTTTGGGTGTGCAAGCCTCGGGCGCTTACGCTTCTGAAAACTAACGCTCGAAAACCCCTGCAAGTAAAGCTTTCTTATCCGACAAAACATTTTGTCTGCCCAGGCAGCCGGCTTCGTGTTCATGTTGCTTACTCTCGAGGCTTGTGAGTCTTGGTATCTCGAAGAGGGCCTGGGGTTTACTAAACCCTAAACCCCTGAACCTTAAGCCCTTAAGCCCTGAGCCCGAACCCTTAACCGTAAGCCTAAGCCGCCAAGCCTTACACCCTACACCCGTCGGGTTGCTAATCTGGAGGTTCACGGGGTTTTTGGTTTAGGGTTTCGGGTCCTTGGGTTCAACAACAACAACAACAACCACACCACCACCGTACTAGTGCTAGTTCCCTACTATAGGGGCCTAAATAATTGCCAATGCTATTTTGGTGGCTCCTTATTACAGTTAGCTATACTATACTGGGCCCCAAAACCCTATTAAGATTAAGGCCCCTATATTACTCTGGTGGCCTTTCGATCTGAGGACTTCTGGACCTTTTTCAGCACTTACCAGCTTATCGCCGGCGTGGGCTTGATGGCCTCCTTCTTCGCTTTCCCGGATGCCCCGTTCAACTCCCCGGAGGTTGGAAGCTCTTAGAATAGGGTTTTGGGGCCCATTCCGAATAAGGAGCCCCCAAAATAGCATTGGTAATCAAGCCTTGCGAGCCAGACCCCCGAGCTTTGGAATGCCTTGTGGTAGTGAGCTGTTGCCCAGGTTCGAAAATTCGGCTGCCCAAGCGAATCCCTAAACCCTAAACCCTAAACCCTAAACCCTAAACCCTAAACCCTAAACCCTAAACCCCCAAGAAGAAGTCATTAACTCTGAGCTCTCGCGTAGAGCTTCGGGTTTCGGGCTCCTGAGCCCGAAGCCTCCAGCCTTGAATCCGAAACCGGCATCCCATCTGTAAAGATCCGCGAACACTGCGACTGAGACTTGTAGCACAACTTGTGGAGTTCGCTTGATCTTCGGGGCTTCTGGGAGTCGGCAGCAAGACCTTCAAGCCATATCATATCACCTTACGCCCTAAACTTTGCAGCCCAAAGCCTGTGATTTCAAGACAGCGTGGAGTCTGAACGTAGTCGACCCTGTTGGGTGTAGCGCGCCTGGGCAGAGGACACTCCTCGATGCAGCTTGCCCGTGCCGCCGTGTGGACGGGGTGCCTGCGGGAGGCGCGTTGCAACTTCCGAGGGCGGTTAGGACTTTATAGGAGTTGGCTTTCATTGCTTTCAATGATCCTCAGTACACAAGCCGAAGCAGTCATACTCACGTAAATCTACGATGCAGCACGTTTTCGCCCTCGGATGTAATTCTTTTGGCTTCGTCAACAAGGGAGTTTTTCAACAGCGACAGTAGTTCTACACGGAAGCCACCAGCAGTGGAGTATTGACTACAGCAGGATGGTTGTCATCGCACTATCATCACTTAAGAAATCCAGCAGCAGCGACTATTGTTTTGATGACATATCATATTGCGTGTTTCACATCATTGGTCTCTCCTTTGCCATATCCATCTGAATGGTTTTCATTGCCTCGAAAGTATGTATTCGGCCTCTACATCTAACGGTTCGAACGTGGGTGGCATGTTGCAGGCGCTGTCGCGTAGGTGCGTTTTCCCAACGGGGAGGATGTTTGCGATAGCCCCATCAGCCCTACATCCTGACAGCAGATCGATGCATCGCAGAACCAGATTCCGAGATCTTGTGAATAATAGTTGCCGCCTCGATCTTTCCGCCTGTCCTTGATTGTGTATTTCATGATGTTTGGGCATGTGTCTCCACACAGCCCGTTTTTCTTGATTTTCCGGAATTTTGCTTTCCTGTCACTCACTGTCTGACGGTGTCAAACAGGGCCCCACAGTGAAGAACCCTGCGCCTCGCCGGTCCTCAAGTCCCCTACTTGGAGGGCCGGGGGAGTTAGTAACTGGTTATTAAGTACCATAACCCCAATTAGGGTCCCTTTAGGGTACCTATAAGTCTACTTACTACCTACTTACTAAGTCCCCCGAGTGGACCCAGAAGGGCCCAAGAGACTTCATAGTTACCAAGGTCCGCCTAGCAGGGCTCCCTTTCTTCCATCTGCCTCCAGGCCCGAAAGCTCCGCCCTGCAGCATGCGTTTGCGCCGCTTCTGCTTTCCCGGACCTGGTACTTTTTGCTTTGCTTTTCCCTGTCGGCCACTGTGGCTGCCTGGTGCGGCGGGACATTCTATGCGCAGCTGAAGGGCAGCACGGCTTTTCATCGTACTGTTGGACTCTTTTGGCGTTGGGTTTCAGACCACCGAGCGTCTTCAGTCCATACTCAAGAACTATAGGCTTCCGGAGTTGTTGGTCAACCATAACACCCTACATGCCACTCTCAAAGCAGGCACGCGACAGAAAGTGTTTTGACATCCTTGCAAAGCGGGAAATGAAGCCCCAGAACGCAACGACACCGGGGCGACATGCGGTCGGA